GAGTATTTCATTTCATGTGAAATATTCAGAGAGAGAGAGAGAATAGATAGCAGGTTATATCATCACTTTATTAGATCTATAAATTTAATTTACTTTATATCTAATGATTAGGGTGACCAACAAAAATTCCTATAAAAAAGAACAACTGACAAAAAATAGTCATCAAAAAGGACAAAAAAAATTATTTAATGAGACTTGTATCAATTGGACATAAATTGGTTAAAATTATTTAATAGTATATTTATGTAGAGATTTTGCAGATCGTAGTACTTTCTTATTATCTAGTATTGCCTCTCGAGCCGCAGTTGAGCCGCAATTGCATTATAATTTATACTCATCTATACTATGATAACCGATGATTCATATATAAAGTAACATTAATATATGATCGGGGTACTATTTATATATTAATATTAAATACTTGTAGACTATAATTACAAATAGTGTAACATTTATCACGAGTAATGTATAATAAATTACCAAGTTTTAAAAATAATCACGTCTACCTATTTGAGATTTGGCAATCGCTGCTTATTATTCTTAATGAACTCTTTAAATTCAATTCGGTTTTTTGCAGATGTTTTGTCACAGATTTTAAATAAGTATTTAATTCTAAACACATTTAACATTCACAACAAATAAAATGCTTTAGGCCACAATTATGGCCTAAAGTTAGTTTTAAATATGTTTATATTTACCAAAAATAATGGCCACTATTACCAAATTCGAGGTCGGGTTGTCATTCCGACTTGTATCATTTGACTTTTAATTAAACATATGTTTAAAGATTGGGGAAATAAATAAATAGTAACTTGAGATTTAAATTAAAATTGATTTAGTTATCAATTATGTACAATTCAAGTTATAATTTAAAACTACATTTATTAATCTATAAGATTGTGAAATTATTTGGTCTGTAACTTTTGTGGTTCCAGAGTAATCCTTACCCGAAGAGGTCAACCTTCGGAAACTCTTTGGCACTTTTACCCGACGGAAAATTGAAAATGTGATAATTTGGCCACAAATTATATCAAATTATTTAGATCTTATGCAGAAAATAATTGTCATACAAAAATAATTTAAATAAATTAAAAGAATATTGAAATAAAAAATATTTTGTAATTTTTTATTTATCACATTTTTGTGACTTCCATTGAATAACATTAAAATAAAAGTGCCAAAGGGTTTCCAAAGGTTGACCTCTTCGGGTAAGGATTACTCTGGAACCACAAAAGTTACAGACAAAATAATTTCACAATCTTATAGATTAATAAATGCAGTTTTAAATTATAACTTGAATTGTACATAATTGATAACTAAATCAATTTTAATTTAAATCTCAAGTTACTATTTATTTATTTCCCCAATCTTTAGTATCATAAAGAAAATCGCATTAAATTAACTTTGGACAAAAAATCGGCCAGTATCCCATTAACGTAACTTTTTTACGGAGGGTTAAATAAAAATTATTTTTTTAGGCAAATTAACATAGAGTCTATCACATCCTCCTTTATTTTTGCCATTTATTCAATGGTTATACACTCTTTATAATAGATTTGGTCATTAATCATTTTATTTGGCTGGTTAATTGTCGCTTTATTTAAATTTAAATATCCTCGTTGTACAAATTTTAAGCACGCAGTAATTGATATATTTAATCTATTAATGAACCCATCACATAATTTAATTAATAAAATAATAAATTTAAAAAACACTGGAATATCAATGATTGCATTGATTTATATCTGGATTTTAAGTTCATTATTGATAACAATATTTAATTGCAACGATTTATTGAACATTTATATTACCGTAAAATCAGTGCCAATAGTGAACACCATTGAAGATATTTTAAATCATAACACAATGAACGTAGTGTTGACAAAAGATTTAATGCGATCTATTGCTAAAAGTTCACCACATTTTAATGACATCGCCAATGCACTCATCGATAAACATGTAAACTACGAGCGATTATCAGGAAAAACATATGATCTTAACGATATATACAGATTAAAAATAGTTCAAGATATGATTGCCGGATAAGTTGCTTTACTACCAGATACTGATATATTAAAGACATGGGAAACAGTATTTACTAGATTCTTTAGCAAGCAATTCTCGATTAGTAAATACAAATATTTTAATCGTTTTTCATATTTTGTCGTATCGAAAGCGTTTCGATCTAAATACAAATTTTTAAATATGTTAGTACTTATGTTTATCAATATAACATTTATGAACTCTAGTCAATATGGTCAGTCTTTAATAAATTAGGTTTCAGGGTTAAGACAAGTTATAACCGCACAATTTAACATGTCAAACTTTAGGAATTGTAAGAAAATTAAAGTAATTATCAAAACTTATCTAATTTACCATTATGGAATTTATTATAAATATTTTTATCAAGAATCAGTGAGGGTTAGACCATATTAATTAGGGTTCATTATACTTTTTTAATGTTCAAATTTTACAATTTAAATGAATATTATTCTACGATAGGTTTAAACGTGCTAATGAAGGTGGTTTGTATCAAATTGAGGATTCGTTTGTAAACAAAATTTTTTACATTCGCTACACATCTAATAAAGTTGACTCTGAATTGATTTCAACCAATGATATCACATATAATGACATAACAATAGACGATATGTCTAGAAATACATTCTCACTGTTAATAACCGGATATTTCATTGCATTTATAATAATATTAATTGAATTAATTATATATAATATACGATCACTTTATTTATGCATTAATTTAAGTCTAGAGTTGCTCAAAAAATGTATAATGTCTATATTTAGAAAGTCAGTCGAAATAATTGATTCATTTATTAGTTCAATGTTTAACTTGTAAGCCAGTGACAGACAATTGGGCGACTAGTGATTTAATTGATTTAATCAAATTGCATACTTATTGTAATGTATTTATACTTTTGTTAATGTGATAATAATTATAGTCAGATGTTTAGTTATTAATGTTATTATAAATACTAGTGTTTTGTGTAGTTTTGTATTACAATAATTGTAATACAAAACTAGACAAGATAAAACAACTAGACAAAACTAAACTAGACAAATAAGACAATTATTGTCTTCACATATAATGTCTATACTGTATAGACTATACATATTCTCGTCGTTCAGGCTTTCAATATATTCTATAATCTTTGTGGGAATTTTATCATAAATTGTAAATAATACATATTTTTACGCAAATTATAATAAATTATTTCTAAACTACAATTACATAAACACAAAACCAATTGATTAAAATAATTATGTTTTAATTAATTAAAATATTTGTTATCATCATGATAATATTTCCCCACAAAAAATACATAAAATTACCTTTTATTTTGAACAGAATATACTGTGACATACAATAATAGTGAGACAAATACTCGACATTATTCATTTCTGAAAATAAAACTGGTTAAATACTGTACTAGTTCTATTATAATACTGTATTACTAACACATTATTGTGATTTTCAAAATAAAATTTCATAGAAAATTGAATTATCATTAGATTTGAGTGAATTTATAGTTGAATTGAATTCCTTGTGATTCGTGACAACAGTCTTATCGATAGACCACTCGTTATGTTTGGCCAACACTTCCCGACACTCAGGCCTTAGCTTATGGTCAGGACTCGACTGCATTGACTGCAAAGTCTGGTATAGATTATCATAATATTTATTAAACTCGGTTTCAATTGCTTGAGACGAATGCGAACTATAAATAAATATAAAATATAACAACAATTATAACAAACACAAAAATAATTGCTAAATACGCTCACATTTGTGGATCAATACTATAGATCTCTTCGGCAATAAGTGCGAGACTATAAATGTCTGTTTTGTGATTATATTGCTTATAATGGTATACTTCGGGCGACATATATGTCTTAGTGCCCACACCTAACGTATGGCCGTATCGGCTCGCAGTTTGCCTATCAATGTTGTGATCAGTGGCTAAACCAAAGCCACACAGTTTTACACAACGATTAAAACTGAAGTTGTGATCAATTAATACATTTTCCGGTTTGAGATCTCTATGAATGACCGGTGGATTGGATTCGTGTAGATATTGGACGCACTCTAAGAGCTCTTTGAATATTTCACATGAAATGAAATACTCGATGGCATTCATCTGGTCTTCCGGTTGTCTTTGAAAGACAATTGGTTTGTCTTTGAGAAGTGATCGAAGATTTTGTAAACAGAATTGCATTTGAATGTAGAGATGATTGGACTCAAGCCATGAGTTGTAATATTTGACCACAAATTCTGACTCCATTTTTGCCAAACTCTTCACTTCTTTTACAACTTTTTGTTTCTTTTCTTCACTTAAATCTATAAAAATTTATGAAATGTTTATTATTTTTAAAAAAAATAAATATAACATTTAGACAAAATATTATATTTACCCCCGAATTGTACTCTTTTAATGGTATATATCTTATCATCCAATCTATGCTTTACTTTAAATACAGTCCCAAAACCACCCGAACTTATGGCTGACATCTCAATGAATTGGGTTTTATAATTACCATTATTTGTTTGCTCTTTACTAATACTTGTGCTATAACTGGGCATCGGTTGAATTAAATCCTCGGATTGTGTTTTACTATCACTTGACTTAGGGAACGTTCACATATTACGTT